TGTTGGTCATCATTGATCAACTTGCCGATCGTTGATGGGTGATATAGAGATGTGTCAAATAGATCCTATGATAGTTGGATGTGCATTTCTTTGTTTTGTTCACTAGGAAGGGTCATAGTGAGGATATTCGTGAACGGTCATGCCGTCAAACTCTCTGACGTTTTCCAGTGTGTGTTAAAACATTGAGTTAAGATTAAACTATCCAAATGATCTGAAACAAAGCTTCTGTATGTTTTCATGCCAGGATTTCCCAGGGGTTCTCCAAGGAATGTGGAAGTAGTCAGTGTTTACGTCATTTCAAGAACACAATCTGAAAACGTATGAACGTCAAATTGTGTTGTTCATACGCTTATGAATGTCAATATTGCGGTCATGTGACTGACCTCTCGTCCAATGGAAAAGCTGTGTATCATGAAAACTTCACATTAAAGAATTATTTGCATAACAATTTTCTGTTGGAGACATATTTGTATAACAACTTTCATGTTGGAGTATATAAGCATGCTGTGTTTGAATGGACAGTGTTATTGTCTTGTAATGGCATGAAGCTGCTTCCAAAGTTGGCGGAACCCATGCCTAGCAGATCTATAAATCTGTGAGCACCAGATGCTCCTTCCAGATAATATCTTGTGTCTCCCATCACTGCTGCACTGTTGGACAGGCATGGTGTTTGGCAGGCAGCTGCCTGACCTGGTGGTGATCCATGGACAGCAGGATACACAAGGCATGCTCCACTAGGGCCGGGACAAGTCTAAGTTTACTACCTGGGTACCTGCTGTAGGTCTCAAGAGAAGGGTACAAAATGTCTGATAGGGAATTGTTTGACCAGAGCCCTGGCAAAACGTATTTTGGTACACTATAAAATGATCTGGTCATGCATAACTGAAGTCAGAAGGAATATGTGTATAGTCCGAAAGAAATGTGAACATTCGTGACCTGTTGTGTGGTCACAGAGTTGTAGATAATATATGTCTTTAAACAATATATCACATGACTAACCATGGGTCCGAGTAGTCCTGATGGGCTGTTGTTGATGTTGGGCCGTTCTGAAAAACTGCTGAGTGTGTGAATATTATTGCATGCTGAGTCAGCAATAAAGCAGCTTGACTCAGAAAAGGGACTGGCAAGTTGGTAGGATAAGCAGCATCCCACATCATCGAGGTATGGTGTCACACTACAGGCTGAAACATAGAGAAAGAGTGTTGATATTTTTTTATATCAAAAGACACTCGGATGAGATTTTATTTATCATCCAACATCATTCTTCCAACTTTTTCAGTTTGTAGACAGTAATAAGCAGTGTCTTAAGTGTAAAAAGTACTGCTAACAGCTTCAGTAGCCAAGGCATAAGTGATGTCATTTGATTGTGATGTCATGGTAACAGACAGACACACAGACAGACACTGAAGACACAGACAGACAGATAAAAAGAGACAGACACACAGATGCACACAGATACATGAAGACACACATACACATAGATACAGACAGAGAGAGAGACACACATGAGGCATAATTCTGGAGACACATACATAAATATGGGTTCTCACATAAGTTTCACACAGACAGACAGACCGACGGACGGACGGAGGGACAGATGGACGGCGGACAGATAGACAGACACATGAAGCATAATTACTTTTATTAGCTCCCTTATTTCTGCTTCAAGAGTATTGATGTCTGTACCTTTCCAAGACTGATTCCTATTTACACACTTTGTTTCCTCATAAAGGCGAATTTCAAACTGTTGATCAATGTTTGGTGTGTGTCAAGCCATCTTCTCATAGCAACCCTAACAGTTCATGTACAGCTCATAGATCATATGTTTACACAGAGCTGAGACGACACAGTACATTTTGCTGTCCCCGCATGTTGTCAATAGCGTGTCTAAGGGAGACTGAAGTTGGTGTTTACCCATGTTGAAACTGACATGAGTGCAACAGGTCAAGGTGTTTAAAGGCCATACCGGTTTGTCTTCATGTTGTACAGATGTGTAAAGCTTTGCCGAAGTCGAAGCAAGCAAACTCTATGTAAATATTCACCATTGTGTTGCATCCAGACTTGAATATTTACACTGTGATATATACATCCAATTTTGCACCTTGACTAGTTTGGCCTAGAAAATCTGAATGTGAAAAATTACAATTAATCTATGAATACATAATACCATCCAGACAGTGGTCAGGTGTAACAAATGTTATATTTGGGATAACACTTTCTCAGTAAAGTACAGATTCTCCAATCTGTACTTTACTTAACTGAGAAAGTGTTATCCCAAATATAACATTTGTAACAATTAATCTGGTCAAAAGGGGGCAATACGGACAAACAGTGTTTCATGGGTGGTACTGTCTGAATGGAAATAAAATCACACCCACCTACCCTTGAACTCCAACCCATCCAATCACTCACACAATCATCCAGGTGATATATATAATGTTTCAGACTCGTGAAGATCTGGGGTAGAATAGGTCTTCAGCAACCCATGCTTGCCATAAAAGGCAACTATGCTTGTCGTAAGAGGCGACTTACAGGATCGGGTGGTCAGGCTTGCTGACTTGGTTGATGCATGTCATCGTATCCCAATTTTGTGGATCGATGCTCTTGATGTCAATCACTAGATTGTCTTGTCCAGACTCGATTATTTACAGACCCCTGTCATATAGCAGGAATATTGCTGAGTGCGGCGTAAATCAACAAACCATCCAACCAAATCAGATATGACATTCAACACAGCATTAAACATCCTCAATCCTCCAGAGTAATAATATATACTCAACAACAAAAGTTCCTGTGACACAAATATTTTAGTGTATTTTTCAAACAAGTAAAGTTTAGTTTTCAATATTGTAGTACATGTATGGAATCAAGTCACAAATCGCAACTGCTACAGAAAAGCATGCATTCCATGCAAAAGTTGACTTTTATGCAAGCCCCATGCATTTCACTACCCAAGAATGGGTATGAAAACATGTGCGTTAACAGGATTCCATATGCATTGTTTAGCATCGTGCTGACAACAACCACTCAGAAAAACAACAAAATTACGCAATTATTCAACATTACGAAATGCCACGCCTGTCCAAAAATGAGCGTCTGCGAGCCACTGGTATGCTTGAAGCAGGATGGAGTCAACGTGATGTTGCAAGACAATTTAACGTCCACAGAAACACCATTTGGCGTTTATGGCAACGCTGGCAACAAACGAATGCAGTCAGAGGCCATCCTCGGAGTGGCAGGCCACGCGTAACCAATAATCGACAAGACAACTGGTTTTGAACAACACAACTACGAAATCAATTCCAGCCAGCAACAGTGACTGCAAGAAGCATCCCTAGCCTTCGATGAATATCTTCACAAACCGTACGTCGTCGCCTCAGATGTGCAGGGATTGTCGCCAGAAGACCCGCCAGACGTCCCATTTTGACAGGAAACCACTGTCAAGCACATCTACAGTGGTGTAGACAGCGTCTACGCTCGACGGCCATGCAGTGGGGATAAGTTCTATTCACTGATGAGTCTCGTTTTCACCTCAGCCATAGCGATGGACGGATTCGAGTGTACCGACGTCGAGGTGAACGTTACGTCAATCATTGTGTCATGGAAGAAGATCGGTTCGGGGGAGGCAGCGTTATGGTATGTGGTGGGATTACAGTAAGACAGAGGACCCGTTTGATAGTGGTAGAGGGAAATCTCAATGGACAGCGCTACCGTGACGAGATCATCGGCCCTGTTGTTCTACCGTTTTTGCGTCGTCATGGCCCAGGCATTACCTTTCAATGCCCGGCCTGATATTGCTCGACTTGTTCAGGATTCTCTTCAACAAAACAACGTGAATGTCATCCCCTGGCCGGCTGGCTCCCGTGATCTCTAACCAATCGAGCACATGTGGGATGAGATGGATTGGCGCCTTCGACGTCAACCACGTGTTCCACAGACACTCCAGGAACTTCGAAACATGTACAGATATCCCACAGGACTTTGTGCGATGCCTGGTCCATTCCATGAGACGAAGATGGGTTGCTTGCATCGCAACCAGAGGTGGACACACACTATTGATTTGTAAATTGACATTTTGGCATGTTCATGTTTTTTATGAAATCACACATTTTCTGAAGTCAGTATGGCAAAATGTTTCAGATATGACCCTATTCAACACAGCATTAAACACCCTCAATCATCCAGAGTGACATTTAGAGAATATCACACGTGACTTTTGGTATAAAGTTTATCAACATGAGTCAATGAAAGTTGAAAACTCTGAGGCTTGTACAATGACGTCACAATCCAATGACATCACAATCCAATGACATCACAATCCAATGACATCACTAATCTCTCTCCCACTGAAGCTGGTTAGCTTCATACACCCACGACCCTTTTTTTTTTACTGTTTACTTGCAGAAAAAGGTGGAAGAAGGATGTAGGATGGTAAATAGAATCTCACCCTTGTGTATTTTTATAACAACTATATCAAAACTCGATAAAAGTGTAAAAAATTCTAGGGAAGCCTAAGAGTCCTAAACTGTTGACTCTTGATGCATTTGATGTCAATAACACTCGGGCGAGATTCTCTTTATAACCCTGTTCAACACAGCATTAAGCCCAAGTTCCTTTCTAAAGTCATAAATCATTAATTGTCTACCAGTATATCATATTGACAACAAGTTGTGATGTTATCTAAACTGCTATGTACAAATATTCTTATCTATGTGACCTTGAACTTGAAGCGTAAGTAACATTGCCACAGCTGGTTGCCCTTTCATTTTAACAGCCTTGCGCTGAATCCACACATGCACTGCTGTAGCAATGAAAACACCATCCACACTGAACACAAATCTAACTTCAGTGGTGCATATAGCTATATACACTGATATACTGTCCAATATACCCCGATATTCCCAGGTATGTCATGGTATAATGACTATATACAATCTCATACTGTGAGATAAGAATGTTTGAGATTTGACCTATCAGTGGGAAGGTCTGAGTGAGCTATATCTGGCTGCCTTCACTCTACCATGTGTGTGTGTGTGTGTGCTTTTATGTAGTTTGCTATGGACAAGTTGCAATACAGGAGTAAATATATAGGACTTTACCTGTCAGGTTGGTCTGCAGTACATGTATCGTGACCTGTCAGGGTTGATATCATGCTGTAAGGCTTGTATATCTTCACAGATGTCGATCTATATAGAGCAGTGAAATCGTATCAAGGCTTGATAACAGGATTTATAACATGAATTTGGGCTTGTGCTAGTGATAGGCCTGGATTTATTCAGTGATGTGTTTGTGTAGACTGTGTTACCTGTAACGGATCTGTTGTTACCTGTAACGGATCTGTTGTTACCTGTAACGGATCTGTTGTTACCTGTAACGGATTTGCTGTTACCTGCAACGGATCTGTTGTTACAGACACCGTGAAGTGAAATGAACAAGTTACAAAATATGAGTGCATAATTCAACAAGTCTGCAAAGAGGGTTACAATATCACTTTGAATTTAGGTTCTACTTTTGGGACTGTGGGGCATTGTGGTGTTCAACAGGTGATATTGATGTTTACAATATCAAGAAAAATGAATATCAATGGTGACTGATAACGCTATTGAAAAACAGTGAAAGTGTGTTTGATTTATTCACGGCTGATGTCTGAAAATATGAACACTTACACCTCATTTGGGCTGATTGGAAGTGATTGATACATCATCAGCTATTGAGGCTGGCAGTCATCGACATTGCTGAACCATTAACATTGCTGAAACCTTGGATTCTTGTCTGACATTGAATTCAGGTCAAGTGTACGTGTATTATTCGTCATGGATTATTTATGTGGGACCCGACAACGTCGACCTTCAGATGATAATGTTGTTGGAGAGTGGTTTGTTCTAGGATCCCTGGTTCCAAGTAAGTATGACTGAATAAAGATTGTCATTTTCTTTCAGACTAACCTAAAAAGATTTGAGTTTGAATCTGTGATGAGCAGGTTTATGATCCTTGGTTTGTCAGAACCATACCCTTCCTAGATCCAATTCCACAAAGTGATCTAAGCGCTAAGTTGATCTTTACTCCTATTCGTAGTGCTCAGATCGCTTTGCGGAATAGGGCTCTGTAGGTTTAACAAAATTAATAAACATCTACAACCTGAATCAACCCTGTACAGAATTACATCCCCTAGCTATGCCAGGATCTGCTGAGATTTAGGTTTTAATTCCTGATTTCACCAGGGTGGTACAGCTTCAATTTCTGTATCACTGTGACCTGGTGTAAGTGAATAGCGTTGAAAACAGCTTTGTGCCCACTTGTTGTGAAAAGATTATGCTATGCAATAACTCAATGTTCGCCATGAACCCCAGACCCATTGTGGTGAGACACTCCTGCAGGGAAGGCTGCTCTGACATCTAAACCCCAAACTGTTGCCGGCAGAACAGCCGCTGCAGATATAGACTGGGATGGGGCTCTTATTCAGACTATCATTCTCAACAGCTCTTTGTTAATTGTCCCTGATACACTAAAAAAGACATTAGTGCATCTGCGTAAATTGTTAATGATACCATTAAAAAGACAGATGCGTCAATGTTAATTGTTCCTTGTGCCATGAATTAAACAGATGAACAGATGCATCATTGTAAATTGTTACTATTCCATCAAATAGACAGATGCATCAATGTAAATTGTTACTATTCCATCAAATAGACAGATGCATCAGTGTAAATTGTTACTATTCCATTTAATAGACAGATGCATCAGTGTAAATTGTTAGTATTCCATTTAAAAAAACTGATGCATCAATGTAAATGATTTGTGTGGACAGCAGCATCCTTACTACTTTCTTATGGATGTAATAAGGTAGCCAAGTGGTTAAAGGTTTGCTTGTCACTACAAGGGCCCAGTTTGATTCCCTATATGGGTGCAATGTCTGCACTATTCGTTGTGTCCCCGCCATGGTGTTGCTGGTGTCCCAGACATGGTGTTGCTGGTGTCCCGGCCATGGTGTTGCTGGTGTCCCGGCCATGGTGTTGCTGGTGTCCCGGCCATGGTGTTGCTGGTGTCCTTGCCATGGTGTTGCTGGTGTCCTGGACATGGTGTTGCTGGTGTCCCGGCCGTGGGTTTGCTGGTGTCCTGGCCATGTTGTTGCTGGTGTCCCGGCCATGGTGTTGCTGATGTCCCGGCCATGGTGTTGCTGGTGTCCCGACCATGGTGTTGCTGGTGTCCCGGCCATGGTGTTGCTGGTGTCCCGAACATGGTGTTGCTGGTGTCCCAGCCATGGTGTTGCTGGTGTCCTGGACATGGTGTTGCTGGTGTCCCGGCCGTTGGTTTGCTGGTGTCCTGGCCATGTTGTTGCTGGTGTCCCGGACATGGTGTTGCTGATGTCCCGGCCATGGTGTTGCTGGTGTCCCGACCATGGTGTTGCTGGTGTCCCGGCCATGGTGTTGCTGGTGTCCCGAACATGGTGTTGCTGGTGTCCTTGCCATGGTGTTGCTGGTGTCCTGGACATGGTGTTGCTGGTGTCCCGGCCGTGGGTTTGCTGGTGTCCTGGCCATGTTGTTGCTGGTGTCCCGGACATGGTGTTGCTGGTGTCCCGGCCATGGTGTTGCTGGTGTCCCGAACATGGTGTTGCTGGTGTCCCGACCATGGTGTTGCTGGTGTCCCGGCCATGGTGTTGCTGGTGTCCTGGCAATGGTGTTGCTGGTGTCCCAGCCATGGTGTTGCTGGTGTCCCGGACATGGTGTTGCTGGTGTCCCGGCCATGGTGTTGCTGGTGCTCCGGACATGGTGTTGCTGGTGTCCCGGCCATGGTGTTGCTGGTGTCCCGGCCATGGTGTTGCTGGTGTCCTGGACATGGTGTTGCTGGTGTCCCGGCCATGGTGTTGCTGGTGTCCCGGCCATGGTGTTGCTGGTGTCCCGGCCATGGTGTTGCTGGTGTCCTGGCCATGGTGTTGCTGGTGTCCCAGACGTGGTGTTGCGTGTGTTACATGTGGTGTAAACAAAAACAGCAGGAAGTCCTAAGCACTCACTTCAAAGACATGCCTTGTTTCATGCTCTTGCAATAAATATTATGCTACCCGTGAAGATCCGGGGTAGAATGGGTTTTCAGAAACCCATGCTTGCTGTAAAAGGCGACTAATGGGATCGGGTGGTCAGGCTTACCGACGTGCTTGATGCATGTCTTTGCATCCCAATTGCGTGGATCGATGCTCATGATGTCAACCACTGGATAGTCTGGTCCAGACTCGATTATTTACAGACCGCCACCATATGGCTGGAATATTGCTGAGTGTGGCGTTAAACAACAAACAAACACATCATGGCTGGAATATTGCTGAGTTAAACAGCAAACAAACACACCATGGCTGGAATATTGCTGAGTTAAACAACAAACAAACACACCATGGCTGGAATATTGCTGAGTTAAACAACAAACAAACACACCATGGCTGGAATATTGCTGAGTTAAACAACAAACAAACACACCATGGCTGGAATATTGCTGAGTTAAACAACAAACAAACACACAAACTATTATGGTTCAGGTTGATGTATTCCAGAAAATACTTTGCAGCCGGAGCAAGTCTAGTTGGAGTGAGAACCACATGTGTGTTGACTCAGTATGTTTTTCTTGTCTACACAGGATGGTCCAGTCTCTTTTAATGAAGGAAACATTGCCGGATGTGAACATTACTGCAAAACCATATGTCTGTGTACATGTCAGACTGAGTTAGTGCATCTCAAGTCAGTGGTGGGACTTCCAAGCAGTCTGTATTAGTTTGTCCTGGCTTTCAGAAAAATTGAAAATATAACTCAATTACAGGAACCATGTTCCAGTTGGTTTTGTTTCCCGAACAGGTGACAGATGAACCAGAATGTGTGCAGACTTTATTTATCTATCGACTTTGACTTTGTGCACAGGCTGAGTTACTGTTAAAGTGGCAGAGTGTATTGATTGTGAATCATTGAAGCACACCTGGTTACACGTGCAACAATGTGGATTGTTGATTGTATGGTTAAGTGTCTAACTTTGATGTCACATTTGAGTAATATAATTGAATTGTGAATTTTTATAATTTCTGAAAAAATGTCAAAGCCAAGTCTTGAAATATTACTGTTAGAATTGGCCTTGATGGCCTGTTATATGATACATATGTGGGGGTCATCTCAAAAGTTTTTAGTGGTTTCTGTTCACGTTTTACTTCATAGTTTGTTTCATTGAGGATGTCAAATATGTTGCTTCAGATTATATAATGGACAGAAGAATTCGGAAGTGTTTATAGTGGAATGAGTAAGTAATCTCAAAAGGGTTTATTATATTTGTCCATCCATCCTGACATACAATCTTATATTCACCAGGACATATATTATTCTCTTCACTGTGTTATACAAAGTTCTATCCATCCTGACATACAATCTTATATTCACCAGGACATATATTATTCTATTCACTGTGTTATACAAAGTTCTATCCATCCTGACATACAATCTTATATTCACTGGGACATACATTATTCTTTTCACTCTGTTATACACAGTTCTATCCATCCTGACATACAATCTTATATTCACTGGGACATACATTATTCTATTCACTCTGTTATACACAGTTCTATCCATCCTGACATACAATCTTATATTCACTGGGACATACATTATTCTATTCACTCTGTTATACACAGTTCTATCCATCCTGACATACAATCTTATATTCACCAGGACATATATTATTCTATTCACTGTGTTATACAAAGTTCTATCCATCCTGACATACAATCTTATATTCACTGGGACATATATTATTCTATTCACTCTGTTATACAAAGTTCTATCCATCCTGACATACAATCTTATATTCACTGGGACATATATTGTCCTATTCACTGTGTTATACAAAGTTCTATCCATCCTGACATACAATCTTATATTCACTGGGACATACATTATTCTTTTCACTCTGTTATACAAAGTTCTATCCATCCTGCCATACAATCTTATATTCTCTTGGACATATATTGTCCTATTCACTGTGTTATACAATATAAGTTGTAGCAAGGTCACTTGTGGTAGATGGGGTTTTATGCATCCCGCATTAGGTTTTATACCACTCGGCTCCGGCGCATGGTATCAAACCTAACGAGGGACACATAAATCCCCATGTACCCTGAGTGATCCTCAACAAATTTATCTTACCGATATGTTTTAATATGATATTGTAAAATAATTCAAGTGCATTCAAAATTGATAGAAAACAGCTGTTCGATTGAGCTGAGGTTTGCTTGCGCTATGTCACGTGACATCCATTGGCTCGGAAAAAGTGTGCAGCTTTTTGCTTTGAAGTGGGGTATAAAGGATATATTCTGTCTCTCAGAAATCCTTGTGCAGCATGTAGTGCTCTAGGTGGGGTATAAGAGATTTATTCCCCCACTGAGAAATTTATTCCCCTCCGAGTCAGATTACACAGTATTTTATCAAGATCACATGGACCAATCAGATCTCATCATTCTGACATGGAGGTATGGTCAGGTTCTATCCACTCTGTTATGTTTACTCTGAAAATGTGTATATTCACCAGCTATTCAGCCCCATGTTTATATTCATTCTGACATCGGATCCTATAACCACATGTCCTATTTGCATAAACTGTGCAACTGCATAACAAATACATCGTCTAAGATAGTTTAAACAAGGTTAAAATTCATGGTCATGTTTTGTTACGCGTCAAAGCTAGAATATTTTATGGTATAGTTATGGTTATATTGAACAACATTGGCAAGTGTCGTGCTGGTGGTGATGGACAGTGCGATGCAGCAGCCATCCATTGATGATGATGACATGTATCCTGTGGAGGATCCTCACACAGTCACTGATGACAGTGAGTATATCACCGAATTGTCTTCAAGAGGGTCCGAATGGGGG